TTATAATAAATAAGCCATCCAATTCCATTAATTTTCTGCAGAGAAAGTAAATTGATGAATACAAAACCAAAGAAAGAAAGAAAGTGAGCAGATAACAGAAAGAAAAAAAGTGTCAGGAATGAGGAGCAGAATGAAAGTTATGAACCATCATTTTCATTTTATAATAGAATATAGTGTATAGAGATCAAGACATTGAAATGGACAAGAATAGGCAATAAGAATAAAGGATAAAGAATATCATCCTAGAACAGGGGAGCTTAAAAGGTTATTGATATTTTTAAAACATAAGAGTAATACTGATACTATTTTTTTTACTGATTCAGTAAAAGTAGGGGAAATACGCTCTTGTAATTTCATCTTCACTGAAAGATGATAAAGCTTTTATAGTTCAGAATCCAGCTGTTTCATGAAGTACAAATTGGAAGAGAGGCATCACAGAAATTACTGCATTTCAAAATAACTGTATTCATTTCTGGAACGGAGGGAATTTTGATCAAATGAGGGTGCCTCTAATTATTGAAATATGTTTGTGTGTCCTTGGCCTAAATGTTTGGTGTGCAAAGCTATTATTACAAGGAAATATCTGACAGTATGAAATATCACAGTTGGGTATTCAAGGCCATGGATCAGGATGATTGCTTAAATTAACTGGACTTTGTGATGAATGGCAAAGGCAGATGCTTTCAGAAGAAGCAGAAAAGGCTGGCAGTGATTTGATTAGCTCAGATATATCGGATGTAAAAGAGTTCGAGCGGCACATCTTTTCTCACAAAATGGCAGAATTTGTGTGACTCTGAACAGGAATTAACAAGAGGAGACAACCAACCAGAAGAGAAAGTTCAGCCACTGTGATGGGTAATTTGATTGCCAGAATCTTAAGTCAGCAAAATATAAGAGACTATTGTAATTCTCAAAGAGAAAAAGGAACAGCAGAGAATTTCACATTTCTAAATTGCTGGATAAAAGTACTTCCAATGCTACTTTCTACTTACAGTGCTATTCAGTGATGCTACCTGACTGAATTCTGTAACTGCCTTGAAAGACATCAGGCAAATCTGTTCAATCCCTGTTTAACAATTGGTTAAAAAAAAAAAATCTTGGTTGTGGCGGATGAATTTTAACTTAACGGCAAGAGAACAAAAAGAATGTATGGGTGATTTTTCTCATTGTGCAGCATGCCTTACAGAATAGCAAGCTAAGCAGCTTTAGCCCATTATCACTGAAACACAGATAGTTCTGTGTGCTAAATATTATAGGACTTCTAAGTCATAACTGATACTATTGGAACGAGAGATCTGACTTTAATACCTGGAAATTACTGTTAATGTGTTTCTTGTGTGAGTAATTGTTTGGCAAAGGAAATCTTTGCTCACTCAGAGCTCTAGATTTGTCTATGCAAAATTTATCTTGACCGAGAGTTATAACTTAGTAATCAGGCTGTCATTTGCAGATTCTGGGGTCCCCATGCTTGATTACTCATCAGATGATTCAATTAGCATAGAGGCCAGTAAATATAAATAACTATTTTCTCAGTTTAACTAGCTTCCTAAACAAAATAGATTCTGCTCTGAAGACATAGGAAACATGCCTCAAAAAGTACTATAGCAGTTTTAGCTATCAAGATGAGTTAAGTTTTTCCCTGACTCCACTCATTGGCTTCTTTAACTGGCTGAACTTTTGGATGGTGGCTCCTGGTATGCTCTTCCCAATCTAAAATTGGTTTGAAAATGTCTTCTGGATAATCAGAGAAGACTAAAGATTCACAAATACAGCAAGTGTTACTGTCTGGCTCAATGTTGGTTAGCTCAGGAGACTACATTCATTTATTTAATTTTGTTAAAAACAACAATAACAACAACAGCAGCAGCAGCAGCAACAACAACAACAACAGGAAAGTCTACTTCTTGAAGCTCGGCCACTTGAAGCTCTTGAGAAGCCTGGTATGCAATATGCCATTCATGGCAACCATACAGCATCTGAGATTTTGTGATGTGGTTCTGTGTGAATGCTTCATCAGCACCATGACAGGATGTGAAATAAATTGGTGTATTCAGTTAAAATATTGTGAAGCTAAAGATATTGTAAGTACATACAATTCCTGTCACCATACCATGTAAAAACACGACAGTCCTTCCCAGTGGTGAAATCCAATTTTTTTTACTTCCGGTTCTGTGGGTGTGGCTTGGTGGGCGTGGCAGGGGAAGGATACTGCAAAAATCTCCATTCCCACCCCACTCCTGGGGAAAGGATATTGCAAAATTCCCATTTCCACCCCGCTCTGGGGCCAGCCAGAGGTGGTATTTGCCTGTTCTCCAAACTAATCAAAATTTCCGTTGCTGGTTCTCTGAACTACTCAAAATTTCCGCTACTAGTTCTCCAGAACCTGTCAGAACCTCCTGGATTTCACCCCTGGTCCTTCCTAAATGAATGCATGTGCTGCGACTATGATAGAAAATGGTGTCCCTTGCTTGGGTCTGTAAAAGATTTCTGCCTTCAAAGAAACCACCCTTTTCAGTTCTATAATAATGGCAACTTTCAGCTGTGCTATGAATAGAGGCCTGTGAAGTGTTTTGTCAGACTTTAGTGTGTCAGTACTGCAGTGGAGTAGGAAACTTGAAAGCCATGAGATGTGCGCAGTCCTTGTCCACAAAAAATTATGGCCCGTAGGGGGATTTTGCCCCATTTTTCTCACAAGCCATTAAATCATTTAAGTCAACTAGCTTATGGAGAGAAAATTGCCATTTTCCCTTTATTAATTGCATCAGGGGCAAGTCATCTCAAACTAGATTAGTTAGAAGGAGAAATAAGGGTTCTTTTCCCTGAACTAGTTACAAATCAGTAGTTTTTCACAGTTTCTTGCCAAAGAAGTTTTATGATGGTGGTGGTAGATTATTACTGTTTTTTTTCTCTTTCACTTCCCTCCAAATAACCTGTTAAGATTGCTTCTTAACAAGAAGTATGAAAATATGCTATATGTATAAGAATGGGAAAGTACATACCAGTAGTTCCTTGACTTATGACTACAACCGGGTACCAAAATTTCCATTGCTAAGGAAGACGGTAGTTAAGTGAGTCATGCCTGATTGTACAACCAGTTTTGCCAGTTTTGTAAACCAAATCACTGCTGTTATTAAATGATTGTGTGGTCATTATGCAAATCCAACTTCCTCCATTGACTTTGCTTGTCAGAAATTGGCTGGGAAAGTCACAAATGGAGACTACAGACCCTGGGATGCTGCAACCATCATAAATACATGCCAGCTGCCAAACACCCACATTTTGATCATGTGACCATGGGGATACTACAATGGTCATAGGTGTGAGGACTGGTTGTAAGTCACTTTTTACAGTGCCATTGTAACTTTGAACAGTCCCTAAATAAATGACTAAGTTGAGGAGTAAAATAGTTGCCAGCTTTTGATTACATCTTTGCTAAATTTAGCAGAAGGAAATGAAAAACAAAACAAAACAAAAAATACCACTACTGAGATATTTGTCTACACACAAATATGGTTAAAATGAGAAGAAACTTGAGTAATAATATTTATTTATATTGCAGTTAAAAACTAAGTGCAAAAAGTCTGAAACTTCAGAAGTCTACAATTATGAACATAATTTGTAGAGGGTTCAAAATATGTTCAGAATTACAATGTGAAATGCACAGAATTTGATTAGAATATGGCTAAGAATAATTCAGGGGAAAAAAACCTAGTGATTTTCAAATGAATTCTGCATGCTAGCTCTTTAATCAAAATATACTTTCATCTGAAGATTAATCACATTAATTTGCAACACGAGTTCTGCATTTGCAGATAGTTGATATTTCCTATAATTCTTTATGTTTGTCAAGTCCATAGGAAAATCCTTTCAAATCTGATTATATTCTTTCCTTTCCTTTTTTCACTGAGCCAGGATTTAATTTGACAGCCATTTCAATAGGCCTGCCTACAATGTCATGTACATTAACATGTTTACAAGTGTGGCTAGCAATTCAATTAACTGAACAGGGCTCAAAAATGAGTTTTTTAAAAAAATCCTTTTATCATATGTAATATGAAATTCATGAACAGCTGTTTTGCTTTTCAGGTGCAGTGAAATATATAGTGGATATAATTCAGCTACCTATGGCTACATGCTATTATCCATAGTAGATTAAATGATTAAGTGTGATTAATCATGAAAGTAATAAAAACTTTTTCTAAGACTTCTTGTAAGGTTGGCGTCCCTGCGGATTTTACTCTGCTGGTCATTGCCAACTATAGGGGGCAGTGCTCATTTCTGTTTCAAGGCCATTGAGCCAGCAGTGTCTGAACACATTTCCATGGTTATGTCACCTGCATGACATCACAGAGCACTGTTACCTTCCCACCGGGGTGGGTTCTACTTACCTTTACTACTGGTTCGCAATGGGGCCAAGCGAGCACGCTTGCTTCACTCCCGCATGCGCATGCTTTTCTGCATAAGCGCAGAAGCGTTTTGATGACATCAGGATCAGTGGGCGGAGCCTCCCGCTGGTTTTACTACCAGTTCTATAGAACCGGTGCGAACTGGGGGCAACCCACCACTGCTTCCCATCAAAGTGGTATTTATTTATCTACTCACATTTGCATGCTTTCAAACTGCTAGGTTGGAAGAAGCTGGAGTAAAGATGGGTGCTCACCCCATCGCATGACTCCCAGGTCTTGAATCTGGGCTGCCAGCTTTTCCAGGTGACAAGCCCAATGTCTTAACCACTGAGCCAGTGTACCTTCCCTGTAGTAATTGGTAGTACATTAGAAATATAGTGCAAACAACAGTAAGTATTGCTAATACTCCTCAGTGTATTCTAGAGGGACCTATGTTTTCTAGTTTAAATGATAAATGCAAACTTGGGGTTATGAAAGGCAGACTGGTGATATTTTTATTTTGATGGTCATCTATATTTACCAAGCAGTGGTTTGATTGTGATACCAACATACTCAGTGAAATGTCTGTATGAGTAGTTAACAGGTGACAGCCTTTTTTGTGAATTAGTTAAGGTTAGAGACCATGAGTCCCACCTTAGGCATGAAGCCATGAATTACTTTAGCTCAGTGGTGGGATGCTGCCGGTTAACAACCGGTTTGGTGAGTGCTCGAGTTGCGCTACAAAGCAGGAAATAGAGGACAGGATAGAATGGGGGCAAGTGGGCGGGGCCAACTGATCATGGGAGCTACCAGTTCATGTGAACTGGTCCGAACCGGCTGAATATCACCTCTGCTTTGGCCCAATCATTCTCTTCATTCAATCATTCTCCTTCCTAGAAAGGAGGCAATAGCAAACCACTTCTGAAACTGTTGCTGCAGAGACTTGTATGCTGGAGTTAAAACTGACTTGAAGGTACCAAAAAAGAGTAATAAAGTCCTGGCATGTAGCAAATTAACAGCCAATTTTTTTTCCTGAAACAAAGCAACAAGGTGTCACTATTACTATATTAACATTCTATAAAGTAGGGCAGGTAAAATAGTAGACCAATTTTCCGTGGGCTGAAACTTATAGGGCTGTCAAAACTGTTTCCCCACATTTTCTTAATATTCAAAACATTCTTTTGGTATGTTGATATTTCACATTTACATTATATTTTTGAATACCTGAATGTTTAATATTAACATATTTGGCAGTTGATGAATTTGGATTTCATTGTTCCTCAAACACTAATGTATGACAATACTTGATAACTGTGTAGCTGTGTTTGCAGTACTAACAACTATTTTAGCTGTATTCTTGTACCAATGTTTGTAATTTTGATTATGAGGATGGATTCCCTTTTAATACTACCACTGTGTAATTTTAGGATTATCTGTTAGGATTTTAAAAATATTGTTATATATTATTAATATATGTTTTTGCTAGAACGTGGAATTATTATTATTGGTTTGTGCCTCTTAGAACCTACCTATAGCAGCAGATTTGTTTTCAGGTCCTCACAATTCATCTTTGGCAATATAACAAAAAAAAAAAAATAGCATTTCTGGATTTTAAAGGATAAGTTAAGAGGGATTGTCTGAGTTTTTGTTCCTTAACTGAAAGTGTATGAACAACTAATAACTGTGAACTATATAACAATGTGTCAAATTTGAGGTTTTCTTCTTCTATGTTAATTACAATTAAGCATAATCACTGAGAAAAGCTCTGAAGATGTTCAAACCTGATTGGAGTGTTGACCTATTGCTGACACTTAAAAAAGGTCAGTGGTGCAATAGTGAAATGTTCTCTTTCTAGACACCATGAACTTTCATCCTGTCCTTTTATGGACATCCTGGGCTCAAAGCTATAACCTTTTAAACTTTGCATGGTTGCAAGCTCTTGAGGGAAAATGCATTTTCTATATTGTTATATCTGCAAGGTACAAATATCTGTTTGAAGCTAATCTGACACACAGACAATACGGCCAAGTGCAATATTCTAAACTTATATGGCCTTCCCTGAGACAATCATATTATTGTTTGGCAATAGGTACCATTCAATCCTCCCTCTATCTCTTCCTCCTCCATAATTAGGTAGACCCAGCTAGCTCTACTTGGATATATTAAATATTTCACACATCTGGTATGCCCTCCTTCCCCTTTACATGAAGTAGATCAGGAGTGAAATGCTACTGGTTCAGGCCGATTCGCCTGAACCGGTAATAAAAAATGCTACTGGTTTGCCGAACCGGTAGTAAAAAATGTAAAAATAAAAAGTCCCGACAATCAGCTGAATGATGCGCGATTGTCGGAATTTAAAAAAAAACTTTTTTAGCATTTTTTTTTTACTACCTGTTCTCTGGAACAGGTAGTTAAAAATGCTTTAAAAAGTAAAAAATAGGGTTCCGATGATCCCGTGTCACTCAGCTGATCATCAGAACCCTTTTTTTTAACCTTTTAAAAGCATTTTTTTACTACCGGTTCGGGCGAATAGGTAGTAAAAAATGCTTTAAAAAAGTAAAAAAAAAAAAAGGCTCTGACAATCACAGCTGTGCTACGTGATTGCCGGAGCCTTTTTTTTAACCTTTTTAAAGCATTTTTTTACGACCGGTTCTGGTGAATTGGTAGTAAGAAAATGCTTTTAAAAGGTTAAAAAAGGTTCCGATGATCCTGCGACACAGCTGTGATCATCGGAGCCCTTTTTCTTTTTACTTTTTTAAAGTATTTTTTTTACTACCTAATCGCCCAAGCCGGTAGTAAAACAATGCTTTTAAAAGATAAAAAAAAGCCCCGACGATCACAGCTGTGCTGCGGATCGTCAGAACCTTTTTTTTTACTTTTTAAAAGCATTTTTTACTACCTATTCGCCCAAGCCGGTAGTAAAAAATGCTTTTAAAAAGTTTTAAAAAAGGGTCCCACATGCGCCACAGCTGATTACCCCCCCACGCTGTTCTACTTACCTTCCCAAGCCTCCTTTTGGCACGCACTGCATGTGGATGCACACAGCTCACATTTGGTGTGCACTGTGTATGTGCGTGCTCAGCGTGCATTTGGCGCATGGCGCACATGCGCAGTCAGCAAACTGGTAGTAAACCGGTTCAGATTTCACTACTGAAGTAGATCCTTCCCCTAATGTAACAAATTGCAAACTGGTTTTGAAGCTTTATAGTATTGTGAAAATGATTTGCAATGACACAAAGAAAGAATGCTCTAGTTGCTTTGTACAGAAAAAGCCTTTTTTCATGGAGATCGAGTGGTTCAATTCCTGGATGCTGCTATTAATTGTAGAGTTGGGTGATGCCCTCTTTCTCATTAAAAGAAGTATAAAATGGTAGGCATAAAGTTTTTTTAAAAAAAAATGACTGGAAAAGTTTGCATTTCTTCTTGATACTCCCAGGAAAAGTCTTACTGGCTATCTCTCCCCAGGGTCAAAACCTTTAAAACTAAGTAAATATGGGTTTTTTTTGTTTTTTTTTTGTTACACAGACTCTTCCTCCAAGCACACGATCCATAAGTTAAACTCTGTGGAAATGTTTTACTTAATTCTTGCAGATGCCACTTCTTACATATTAAGCTCTGCATCCATTCCCAAGACAAACAGATGGTCAGCAAAACCAATTAACCTTTCTCCCTCTGCCTTTCAGACTCACAACGTCTTCAAAGCCCACAGACAAATGAGCAGATACTATCAGGAGATTTCATGTCAAAGCATGATGAATAGGAAAGACTTGGCCGAGGTACTTTGAACTTGCTCAAGTGGACCTCCTGGCCATAAATGTGGAACACCTGAAGGTGAGGTCTTATAATTTGACAGAAACAGGTAACCAGGAAAAAAAGCACTGAAACAAATGATTAATGCTTGCATTTTCCCCTTCTTCATCCTGAGAGAGAAGATTTGATAGACTTATTTATTTTAAAGATGAAATGCACAAGGAAGGGAGACCATTGCTTCTCAGGTCTATCACAGAGCAATAAGATAAAAATAAACTTCAGCCATGCATTTACAGGAGAGAGTTGATGAAGTAATTTTTAAATGCTCATTTTTACTTGAAATTTTGGGGAATATATGAATGTTTATGTCATGCTACCAAGATGGCACCAATTCATCTACTTGCTTTAGTTTTTCACTATTGATGTACTTGTATAATTTTGTATAATAACTCCACACTCCCAGATCAAAGTCTTTGGAGAGTTGCTCAATTTTCCCCAAATTCATCCTTGATTCTTACATTGTCACCATTCACTGGAGTATATCATGGAACTGCCACTGATGTAGGAATTCCTGCTCTTATTTACACCTTTCACACCTTTACATTTGTTTACAACTTTACACCACAACTTTCTAATCAGGAGTTCCCAAACTTAACAACTTTAAGATGCATGGACTTCAACTCCCTGAATTTCCCATGCTAGCTAAGGAATTCTAGGAGTTGAAGTCTACTCGTCTTAGAGTTTCCAAGACAGGAGACACCTGTACTAGTTTAGGCCAGTTCAAGTGTTCTGAAAAAGATCTTAGCTCTTTTAGTATAACTTAACTCTATTTCCCTGCATGTATTTATCCTTTCCATTCCACAAGATAAGACCATCTTCATTCCAATCTCTTACAGCTTTCTCTTTTATTTTATTGTCACACAAGCTATGTTTTCTTCTACTTATTAATTCATGCTTTTTACCCTTCTGACATTTCAAATTGCAATTTACAACTTGTAACCAAGTTGCCCATGGTTGTTACTGGAAAGGTCTATGAATGAACTCTATTAGCAAGATATGCTAATAAAATGTATAACAACCAGCTCTGCCGCCTCCATTGTCACTGCTAAGCCATGGGCTGCCAAAGAGCTTATTGGCATGTTAGGCATCGTGGTTGAGCTCTGCTATCAAATGGCTTGCCAAATTCTGGAAAATTTAACAATTGGCCCTTACAAGTCAGTATGTGCTGGCTCCAGGATACTACTGCCTACCACTCATCAGGATTTTGACCACCTGAATAATGATCAAACAAGCATAGGAAAAATGTGTTGGAATAATATTGTCCTTTATCCTGCAGCGATGGTCAATGACGAGGACCAGGTTGAGGAGAAAGTTATTTTTTCAGAAATCACGGTTCTCTTCTCTTCTCTTCTCTTCTCTTCTCTTCTCTTCTCTTCTCTTCTCTTCTCTTCTCTCCCGTCTTCCTTCCTTTCCTTTTCCTTTCCTTTCCTCTCTTTCCTTCCTTTCCTTTCCTTTTTCCTTTCCTTCTTTCCTTTCCTTTCCTTTCCTTTCCTTTCCTTTCCTTTCCTTTCCTATTTTCTTTTCTTTTCTTTTCCTTTCTTTTTTATTTTTGGCTATTATCATTTCTGTTAGCACAATGCAGAGTTACATGCAAAAATGAGGTGTTGTATAATCATAGCATAAATGAGAATATTTTGGGAAAGTATTGACTTTAATTTTCCTGTGGTTATGCAATAGTCTAAAACAATAATATCTGAATGTTAGAATCATAGGAAAATATTCTACAATAGACTTTTAGTTCTGGGTAAATATGAGCTTAAGAATATTTTGCATGGGAATACTAGCAAGAATGGGAATAAGTATTTCTTACCAAACTCTTTTTTTTCCTAAAAAAACCCCAGGCATTCTTAATAAATGCAATCTGCAAGAGTACATCCTGCATTTTGCAAATCTATTTGAAAACTAACACATATTTATATGCAGTGCAGAAAGAAGCTAATAAAAATGGAGGATCAAGCATGAATATATAACCTTGAGTAAATAAAAGGAAATGTTAAATCACCTGCTTTAGAGCAAACATGTCGGTTGAAACATTACATAAGCTATCATTCTAATCACATTCTTTAAGAGGCCAGTGACAGTCTGAAAGCACTGTATTTATCTTGAGAAATGCACTGTACTTTTGTCAAAGTTGTATTGAATGGTCTGTAATCTGACGTCTTCACCTATAACCAAAGCTGGTAATGGGCATGAGTCATGTCAGACATGTGGCAGAAATCAACATCTAAGAATTCTACAAAATAAATTCTACATAATTTCTTTTAGAAGCCTGTCCAGAGAACAGAATCCTCAAGGCTTTCTCTGGTGTGTGGATTGGTATTTTGGTTTGTATGCAAGTAAAAACACTTCAACTCAAGTAATGCAAATTCATTTGCATAAGTGGTTGTAGCAGTGGCTCATTTTAAACTCTAAATTATATTTTATTAACAAAGTGCATGTACTTCCATTCACCATCTATTTGGCTTGAGCTCATATGCGTTTCCATTTCTTATTCTACTAATGAGCTATACCAGTGCAGTAGGTCTAGAGCAGGGGTGTCAAGCTCACGTCGTCATGGCGGCATCATGTGACATATCGGGACTTCCCCCACCCTTGCTAAACCGGACATGGGCATAGCCAGCACATGACGCATCTGGCCCGTGGGCCGGGAGTTTGACAGCCCTGGTCTAGAGACATCCATTGCAACTGTTATGATGCCAAAATGACAACATATGAGAACTATATCATCAAATATAAAAAGAAGATAAGAAAGGGGAATAAAAAAAATAAAATACAAATGAATGAACAAAGGATTTAGAAATGTTACAGAGGTTACAATTTTGCAATATAACACTGGATGATTAATATCCCATCAAATCGGGGATGCCCTTTCCGTGATGTCCCGATGCCTGGAGGAATACTTTGTTCGTTACATACAGTAGTTTTGTGTTCCCTTTAGTTGTTTGAGCAGTGTATAAACTACTGTATGTAACGAACAAAGTATTTAATAAGGCTATTTCATTCATTCAGATCTCGGATGTCTTCTGCTTGTGTTCCCTTTATTTTTTTGAGCAGTATACTTTGGAACTGTGCTTTGTTATGATGGATATGTTCAGAAGTACACAAAAACAGTATCTTCTTTGAAAAATACAGATTTTTCATGGGGCCTGGATAAGCAAAGCAAAGGTACAGCATGACCAAATCTGTTTTCTTTTAACATTAAAAAAAATATATATTCAGCTTCATAGAATTTAAAAGGAACATGGAAGATGTTCTCATTTCCTGCTTCATAAAATTTTAGGAGGAAAAAAAATCACCTATTAGATTTTGGAGAAGTGAAGGTCTTTGAATTAATTAATTTCTTTTATTTTTCTTTTAATTTATTAAAAGTTTAAAAAAGGAAGATAAAAACTATTGCAAACGAATACAAAAAGCTAAAAGTGCAAAAAAAAAGGGGGAGGAAATAAAAGAAAAATTGTAAACAATGCAAAAAGATACAAAGAAATGGCTTCTGATCATTTTCTGTAGAGAAGTTACAAGCTCAATTATAAACATAGCCCTTCTTTCTATAATCTAACTTGTCTATGAGCTGACCATGAAAACTTCAGCTTGTGCAGTCTACTCGTGAGAAACAGCCTGTTTCTGGGGTGAAAGTGGGTGATCTAGCAATGTCTCCTTTATCTGACCACGCTGGACAGAATTCACCATCTGGCCTTTGATTTCTGCAGCAGTGCCATCCCTGCTGTTTCAATCCACCATAAATCCTATTAGTAGTACATGCCATTGCCTCTTTTTGAGCGACTGGGACTCATCACTTAAATTCTTGACTGAATTCTCAATTGACTTTGGCAATGTTTTAAAATCTCATACTTTTTGCTACACCAGAGTCTGAATGCTGCAGAATCACAGCACATCTATGGACTTAGGAATCTCAAAGCTACCATGCCAAACTTCAGCATCTGTTAGTTAACAGCAGCTCCCATAAGCACCACCTCACAATAAAAGTGAATAACTGCCAGGAAGATTTATAGCTTTATCTTGCTAAGCTCCCAGTCAGATAATTTTTCAATGTCCACTTTTTTCTGCAGTATTGCATAAAATGGAATTTTATAATTTAGAGTTCAGCAAGATATTTCTTTCTTTCTGAGCTCAGGGATAGAGTAGGCAGTATTCAGACAGTGTAATGCAGTTACAGTGAAATATTATAATAGATTGCATTTTGTAAATATTTCTATTAATATAATTTATGTTTTCTTTTCTGCAGTATAGAATGGAAGCAAATGCTAATTGGAAGTTGGGAGAGAAATTTACATAAGGCTTGATCACAGTCCTAAAACTACTTTGGCAATCTGGCTAAATCTGTGAAATCAACATTTTTCTGTTTTCCTCTTTTCTGTATCTATCCTGATTCTACACTTGTTGGATATTTTCATATGTGCATCTTTCCATTACAAAACACATCTTGTACAGTATATCAAATATAGAAAAGGAAGAGAACAGTACAGAAAAAAATGATGTCTGGGCAGGTATTATACACATACATGCTTTTGCTTTTTGGTATGAAGATTGAAGTGGTTCTCCTGCAAAATGACTTGACTAGACTTCATTTTGAGAGCTCACTTGAGTCTATAGTTCTTTCATTATTTTAATACCTAATATCACAACTCATCATTATTTAGCATCATCTGTGCTAATGCCTGGGACAATAGCTAGTTCCTTAATAGCTTTCTGAACATCATCAGGGAGAAAGCTATCATTCCAAAGGGCAGGTGTCACAATAGAGAGGTCCACCAATTCAGCAGGAAAATACTCAAACCCCATTGGCTGACCTGTCTGACAGCTCCCTATAAAAGGGGAAACAGTCAGTTGAGCCAGCCGTTGGGTTGCACTGATCTACCAATAAAGAGCTGTTGTTACTGTTAGCACTGAGTCATCGCCCGATCTAACATGTTTCCTGCATCACACTTGATAACATTGCTTTATTGATTGAACCAAAGCCTGCCCATTCTGCCCGGTCTTACTAGACAGACAGAAACAACTGGAGACAAACGTTCTCTCAAATAATCAGGCCCTATGAACAGAACCCTTAATGGTAATCAGTGCAGTATGAGCAGCACGGGCATAATAAGACACATCCATCATTGTCTGCACCATTTCATCCTAGACCAGCTGTAGCATGACCAATGCTGTCTTTTTATTGTAACCTGGTCTGAAACCCAACTGAAACAAATCCAGATAATCCATCTCCTCCAACTGAAGCTCAGACACCTTCTCCATGATGTTCCCTTAAAAGGGAAGGTTAAATAATAAATGGAAATTGTTCAGAATTGTTGGGTCCAGCAATGGCTTTTGGAGAAGGAGGTGCATTACTGCCTCCTTCCAAGCCTGATGAGACAAACTTCTTCCTCAAAGAAACAGGTTTGGGGATCCAATCTCAGGCCACCTTTTGTCCATCCACCAGGAGTGATCTGAATCCAACAGATCACTGAGATCACGGTCTGGAAGTTCCTGTCTACTTCCTCGGGAGTCACAGCTGCAAATTTGCTGCAATAACCCTAAAAAACTCAGCCCCAGGCACCTCTACTGGATCTGTCCAAATGAAATCCAACTCTGAATGAATCCATGAGACTTTTTTTTTAAAATTTGATTTATATGCCGCCCTTCTCTGGAGACTCAGGGCGGCTTACAATGCGTTAAGCAATAGCCTTCATTCTTTTGTATATTTTATACAAAGTCAGCTTATTGCCCCCACAAACTGGGTCCTCATTTCACCTACCTTAGAAAGGATGGAAGGCTGAGTCAACCTTGAGCCTTGGAGAGATTCGAACCAGCAGAAATTGCAGGCAGCTGTGTTAATAACAGGGTGCACTAAACCACTGTACTATCAAGGCTCTTCATCTGACAGATAGAAGAATAGTCCTTGCAATGGTCCGAGAGATGTTCCTCTGGGTTTTTCTTCCCCAGCAGATAATGAGTCATCTTAAACATGGCTATGGTAGCTATTGGCAGATAGAACAATGGTGGAGAAATAATAAGGGCATTAAGGGTGGAAAAATAGCTGCCCCCAAATTTTTTGATTATTATAGGATAACATTGCCCTATAAACAGTAATGGAAGTTAGGCTGCTTTAAAATACCTAAAGAGATCTAGTGATGCATTCTGAAATACAATCCAATTTTGTTGGTTTGAATAGTAGAAGCTATTCCAGATTAGACTGTAAAATTGTGAAGTAGAAAATGAATACATACATTTTCTGTGCATTGACTTGGTTTTTCAAAATCCCAAAGTTGGCTGGGGCACAGAGGCAGATGTTCTGTGTAATTCCGATAATAAACACACTTCTATCTTGCACTGGAAGTTCTTTTTTCCCCCTGTAAAATTGTGAAAGAAAAGAAGTAACTTTCACTTACTGTATATAATAAATTTCTGTGTTGCATAACAAAAATCTTTTAAGTTTTTAGATGAAAAGTAGAGTTTTGCAGGTTTCCTGACATCCCTGAATATTTAATGAAGGTAACTAGACCTTCCATATGGTTAAGTGCAATTGTACTTTATATAATTTTTAGCTCCTTTGCAAAAGAAATAAAGAAGTACCATTGTGCTGCACAGTGAGAAAGTAGTTGAGATAAAGATGCACTAAAAGAAGTGTGAGAGAAAAACAAACCCCATGTAGTTAAACATTCCTGATTGACAAAATGAAATCAATTTCATCCACCCGGAACTTAGACTCTCTGTCTCTCTCTCATATCTTCCTCCTATGATATGTGTAACCAACTAATGTCAGTGACCCCAGTGTTTGGAGCTCAATCAATATCAATCAAAATAGAGCTGGAAGGGACCTTGAAGATCTTCTAGTCCAACCCCCGGCTCAAGCAGGAGACCCTATTCCAGGGATGGCTAACCTTTTTGCCAAAAGTGGGGGGAGTGTGTGGGGGTCACACGCACGTGTGCCCACACCCATAATGCAATGTACCCCCCACATGCCCTGCCCCCTGTGCATGTGTGCACGATCCCCCATGCTCCCCCTGTGCATGTGCATGCAACCTCCACAGCCCATTTTGGACCTAGTAGGCCTCCCTGAAGCCTCCAGGGACCAAAAATGGGCCATGGGGGAAAGGCCCACACTGCACCCCCCACGCTTCCCCCACGCATGCATGTGCGTCTCCTGCATGCACCCCACCCTGTGCCAGAGACCAGAAAATCAGTTGTCTGGTGGGAGGCCCATGCGCATGTGCAGTGGAGCTGAGCTGGGCGACAGCCCACTTGCCCGCAGGGAGGGCTCCACATGCTACCTGTGGCACGCGTGCATAGGTTCGCCATCACAGCCCTATACCATTTCAGACAAGTGACTGTCCAGTCTCTTCTTAAAAACCTCCAGTGATGAAGCACCCACAACTTCTGACGGCAAGCTATTCCAGTAATTGTCCTCACTGTTAGGAAGTTTCTCCTTAGTTCCAGGTTGCATATCTCCTTGATTCGTTTCCATCCATTGTTTCTTGTCCTGCCTACAGGTGCTTTGGTATGTAACACCCTTCTCTTTGTGGCAACTTCTCAGATACTGGAATACTGCTATCATGTCCTTCTTTTCTCTAGTTATCAACTTATCTTTCCAAGATAACTTGACCCATTGGAGAATCTTATGCTGGAAACAGCTTAAAGTACTTCATAGATTTTCAGTAGTTCATGTGATCTGTATCCCCTCTGATTCTGTTCTTCTCACATTGAGAAGAAAAATGTGAAGGGAAAAAGCATTTGTATCTGGTTTCACTTGATAAGGATTTCTTCTTGTTAGATCCTACAAAAACATAAGCAGATTCAACAGCATTATTATTTTGGCAGCTGACCTTAACATACCTGAAGGATCACCTTTTTCCAAAAGTCTCCACTTGACTATCCAGATCAAGCAGAATGGTTATGCTACAGATTCCATCATGCACAGAATGTTGCCTGGCGGGTGCCATTTTTTCTGTAGTGGCTCCTGCTCTATGTGACATCTTTCTTTCGGAGATTAAAATGGCCCCAGTTCTGTTAGCCTTTCATAAGGACCTAAAAATGGCTATATTCCTGGGCCTGGGAAGTTAAGGGCTCCATTTTCTAGCTGTATTGCTAACTGGCCAAATACCTTGCTGCTATGTATATTTAATCTGGATATTTAGTGTTTTTAATTGTTTAATTGACACACACACACACACACACACACACACACATATATATATATATATATTTGTAAGCCATCCAGAGTCATTGTCTGATATGGGCAGCTTTAGAAATTGAATAAAGAAACAAACATGAATAAGTAATTATTTGTCTATATTCACATTTACAGCCCAGAATATATTCTCTTTCTAAAAGAATGGATTCTATCACCTTAAAAAAAAGTGTACCAGAAAATTATTTATTGAGATAGTGGTATGAAAATAGAAATCCTGTGAAGCAAAAAAGCTAGAAGGCATGCAACTTTGTGCCATATTAATAGATGCATGAAAAAGACATTTATTCCAAATATTTCAGTGATCTTTTTCAGTAATTCTCCCTCCATACCCAAAGCCCTTTATATAAAAATTACAAGGAAAGCAATAAAAATAGGGAAATGTTAAAATAGGTAGAAACATTTAAAACACTGCTGTTCAAATAAGTAATAAATAACAATCATTGGAATGGTAGGCAGGAAAAAGAAAATAGGAAAATCAAGAAAAGGTAAGATGTAAATTTATAAGGAAATACACCACAATGGAAGCCCACCTAATTCCACAAGATTTTCTCCACAAGATGATTGTCACTACTAAGAATGCTGCCTTCTGCACTGTGACCAAATTAACACCACCAGCTGGACATCCAGACCAAAATGAAAAGCCAATGATTCCCCAGATAACGTGGTTCAGACTAAAATCCTTTACCACCACCTGGAAATGGTTAGCGCTTGATTGTTTTAAAAAGTCGGGGAAAGCTTGTTTTAATCTTACTTTTCTTACTTTCCATTGTTCAACCACCATTTTTAAACTTGATCTTTTTCATGGAGTAACAGTCATTAAGACAAAAATTAAAAAGTTAATTTCCTTTTAACTCAGTCACCAAAAAACCAAATTTCTTCCTTTCCGTTAATATCTTAGGTGGGAGTTCTTTGTAAATCCAAATCTTTCTTCCATACAATTGCAAATTAGAATTGAAGGAATTTTGCACAATGTTATTCCTAATTTCTTTATCTGTAAAATAAATCACCACATCTCTAGGCAATTGCCTTTGCTTTGCAATCCAGGAGTTTATTCTGTAAACTCTGTCAATCCTACAAAACACTTCCTCAGGTTGAACCTTTAAAATCCCAGCTAGAATTTCAGAAGATATTTTCCTTAAATCATCTCTGTTATTTTCCTGCAAACCTCTCAGTCTTATCGCATATTCAGTGAAATTATATTGTACCATTAAAACCTCTCTTTCAATCCTCTGTTGCAAATTTTCTACATTGCCAGTCTTTTGATCAGCCTCCATTTTAGGTTTTTCTTCTGAGCTATTATCTTGAATATTTGTCAAATCATCTTCAATTTTTTGAATTCTATTGTCCAAATTATCTTGAGTTTCTTCCATTTTAGACTCTAGTAACTTAGTATTTGCATCCAACTGTATCATAAATTCCGAAAAGCCATTAGCCATTTTTAAAATTTTTCGCTCCAAAAAATCAAACTTAGATTTCACCAATTCTTTAATTTCCTGCTTAAATTTTTCAAGGTGCTGATTCACAATCTCATCCCTTCTTACAATCTCCTCTAAGAGAAATTCTATTATATTAAAATCAGGTTTCTGAGACTGGAGACTTAAAACTTGTTCCTTTAGCTTGTTAGTGGGGGAATCCCCCCCACTACTTGTTTGTCTGACTTTATAAGTTTCAGTGCCATGTTTCCGCCCAGGCAAGCTTTGTAAAAAAAAAAAAAAGACTTCTTCAACCAGAAGCAATATCCGATCCCCAGGAAAAAAAAGAGAGAGAAAAAGAACACGGGAGCGAAGTTTTGTCTACAATTGTAGCCAGTGGTATTTATTCCGCTACGTTGTAATAATAGAGAACGGAAGGACTTTCCCTTTCAGCCTCTTCTCAAGCCTCGGCAGACGCCATTTTAAAAGTCCTTTTTTTTTCCTCTTTCCTTTCCCTTTTTCTCTTGAATAGTTTTTATAAAATAAGTAAAATACTTGCGATTCTGTATCACAGGTCCAGCTCACATTTTCTTTAATCAATCTGTTAAATTCGCAGGCTTGCTCTTGTCGCCTGGCTCTGCATATAGCAGAGGTCTCCCAAAGCCCGGAGCTGCGGCTGGGGATATGGGGAAGCTCATCCGCTCCGTCCCAAAAGTAAAAGAAAAACTTTTGGGACTATGCAGAGAGTTCTACCCACCCCAGCCGGCTCTATCTCCATTTCCTCATGGAAACGGAGTTTTTTCGAGCCGCCATTCCGTTGTGAAGGTGGCTCTAACAGGCAGTGGAAGGTGACGATCCCGAAGGAACATCTGGCGGCGGCCAGCAGCAAACCCTGAGTTAAAAAAAAGAAATATTCCATTTAGGTGGGACGTCCCAGTTGGTATTATATTGAGATATCAAGGAGAAAGATATCAGTTAAATACTGTTGAAAGAGCGGAAGAATTTTATCAAAACATTTTGAAAATGAATTTAACATCTTTAGGCACAATACAGGATAAGCAGAAGGAGTTGGAAATAAAGGGAAAACATCGAATTACAGAGACTGTACCAGATAAATTGCCTTCGGATTTTTTGGATACTCCAGCCGGATTATTTACAAATTTGAGAGAAGTGCCATCTGACTCTAACGTGATGACTTATCAAGTCAAAGACAAGTATGGATACCAACCAGATGATATACAAGGGGCAAAAAAGAAACACGAGATACAAAAACAAAACCAACAAGATCAACCTATAAAGCAGAATGAAAACCGATTAGTTGATATACAATCTGTAGAAAGGAAACCAGGATGGAAATTAAACTCACAAAAAGAAAAGAAAAAAAGAAATAGGTCGTACAAAAATAGAAATTTCTAAACTAAGCAACAGTGAAGCCAGTGACTTTAAAAAATGTATGAATATGTGAAAAGATAGTGGAGGCGAAGTATTGGTTAATATTATCCCGAGGACAGTGACAGACCTCTTCATTGCCGTAATTCTGGGATGTGAAAAGAGCCTTAAACTGTTGGATTTGAATCATCTACTTTGGATTTTTTTTTTGTACTGATAAATATATTATAACTATCTTGAGTTACAAGGCAAGAGGGTTACGTTGGGGCATGCAGAAGATCTGGTTGTTACCTACTAGGATGATGGGAATCAATAATCCTGATGAAAGCCACAATTACAACTATATGGAATATAACTATAATGTCACTCGGGTGGTTGCTTTTACTTTTATATATATATGAGGATATTTACTACTGATGGGGGCAGATATGAATGAAGATTTTGAACAAACTGTTGCATCAGGAAGCTATGTTACCCTATTATGGATGATGGTCTTAATAATCCAGCGGAAAGACTTCAAAGAAGATATTATATGGACTATAAACTTAAAGTCATTGTCTTTTCTTTTCTATTTAGATATATTGGAATATATACGTATATATATATATATATATTTAAGCAGAGTGGGTAGTGATTCAAGATATTAAGAATTGTTGTGTATGGCAATTTTGCAGGAAAGTGGGTGAATAAGCTAGTTTACAGACTGATTAGTTTAAGAAAAGGGATGTTTAAGTGATATATTTAGGGGAGTGGAGGAAATGGACAGAGTTGAATAAATGTTAAATTAGGATTTATGGGGCAGGCCGCTTTAAAATGTTATATTAATATACACAAAAGATTAAATGTTAAAGCAGGATTTACTATATATTTTTAAAGCGGAAGGTGGTTTTGAAATGTTGTAAAATAATATATAGATAAAAGTCTGAAAGAGGAGAAAAAGGGCAGATTATTGTTAAATTGGGGGTTATAAAAATATGTTAAATTAGAAGTCATCATATAATGTCATAGTAGAATCTTTTCTCTTTCTCTTTTTCTTTTCTCTTTTTTCTTTTTTTTTCTCTTTTTTTGAAATGTATGGTTAAAAGGGGATGTTATAATTTTAATAATATTTCTAGTAAGTAAAGGTCAGTATTTAGAGGAGGGAGTAAGTAATCTGTTATGAATTTGGTTTTTTGTTATGAAGAAGTCACAGGGGGGAGGGGGGGAGGGGGGTTAGGGAGGGGGAGGGGGGAAAGGGGGAAAAAACTTGTATTTGAAAACTTTTTCAATAAAAAGAATTTACTAATGCCAAAAAAAAAAAAAAGTTAATTTCCTATTTTTTGAACTGTGTACTTAAGACTTTCACATTTAACTTGTCATTCAAAAGGGTTGCATTTTTCATTTCTGGCCAAGTCCATGTTTCAAAGATTATCTAAGTCCCATTTGTAGATTCTGGAAATCCTAATTCTAAGTTTATCACTGTTATGAAAAGAAAGTTTATAACAAACCTAATGAATAAGTGAAAAGATAACCTCTAACAAACTGTTTGAAATAATTCTAACATAGTCACTTGGAAGAAACACCCATAAACCAACTCCCACAAATTACTATACCCACGTACAATTCACATCACACTATTTTCCCAAGCACCAATAGGCAAGATGAGAAACAATGGTTGGAAACTAACCAAGGAGAGAAGCAACCTAGAACTAAGGAAAAATTTCGTAATAGTGAGAGCAATTAACCCATGAAATAACTTGCCTTCAGAAGTTGTGGGTGCTCTATCACCGAACGCTTTCAAAAAGAGACTGGATAACTATTTGTCTGAAATAATATAGGGTCTCCTGCTCGAGCAGGGGGTTGAACTATAACACCTCAGAGGTCCCTTCCAACTCTATTATTCTCTATTATACTTATATTTGTTAT